TTAGAGGCTCATTTTAAAAGCAAGAAGTCCTTCGCCTTGTTGATGCTTATAAATGGAAAATTATTGTAAAATATGTTACTAAAATATGAATATCTATTGCAAATCACTGTGTTTATTTCTCTAAGATGGAAATCTTGACATAACTTCTTATCTAAATAACAAAGGCGTTCATTACGTGAAGATTTTGACAAAGATAAATACCTCGTTGAATCTTGTGAACTGGCGCTACATATTCACAAACAAAGAACAGTGACAAACTGTTGGATATCAGTTTAAGAAAGACCTTTGACCTTACTTCCGCTGCATCAGAATGTGAGCTGAAATCGGAACTGGTGATAGCATAATTTACGTAGACTACATACCGGAAGAAGGCGTAGCCACGTAAAGTTGCGTGGTTGTTCAAATGTTATAAAACCGATCCGAGGCTGGTTATAGGTTTACGGAAGATTTATTTCTGTCAATTCTTGTGTGCACAATCCTATCCTCTGAGATTCTCCCCAAGTCTACCCAACTCAAGCAATAGAGATACTTAGCTATCTTATGTATAAGTGTTCCTCGCTGTATTTGAGCCCAACAGCAATATATTACAAAATAACAGAACCAGCATTACATGATGACTACCAACATAGCTAACAATGAAAATGGATGGCACTTGTAACTCGAAGAGAAAATAATGACATAATCAAGATGCTGGCATTCCACCCTTACTTCAAAAAAGTTAAAAATGAAACTTCCGTCTATGTTGGAAAGAGTGGTAACAGCTATTGGACTTGAAAAAACATTTTTCTTAAAAATAGCTTTAAGAGAAAAAATGTATAATTTTCGAACGACAGCAATGCTGACTGCTCAGACAATAAATGGCAAATATTTCTTTATATATAAACGGCTAATATTACCATTAACATTACCAAGTTTCATTTACCATCCCTCTTTGTCATTGCGTTACCATCCATTCAAAAAAATAAAACTCCATAAATAGGTTATTGTTTCATTGTTTTTCCTTCCTTATATTCTAGGAGTGTTAAATTTACCCAGCCTTCTTTCCTCATTACATATCGCAGAATTTTCAGGCGTCTCTTACTGATTGTTCGCAAGTATTAGTTTCCTTTTGGATTTCAATTTTTCATTTAAAAATTACTCATATTTCTGTCCAGAGTACTCCCAGTATTCGTTGTTAGAATCTATTTTGCTTCAAGATCATTCTTCATTTGTGACTTGATTGTCGAGCCTTCAAAGGACATTATATATATATATATATATATATATATATATATATATATATATATATATATATATATATATCGTAGGTTGAGCCCTTTGAAGAAAGGGAATTCGTCGGTTGCTACTAATCAACGCTAAAAGCTCTTTGTTATGAATTGAGCACTCTGGTAGCCGGTAGTGCTTATATCTCGTATATAATATATTAAAAATACCCTTTCTCTGCTGCGTGCGCTGATAAGCTAAGGCTGAGAAATCCTGGCTTGAAACAATCACATAACTAGCCACATTGATGAGTGAAACCGTCTCTATGTGGATTATATATATATATATATATATATATATATATATATATATATATATATATATGTGTGTGTGTGTGTGTGTGTGTGCTTTGTCCTAGACATGATATACCGTATTAAAACTCATTGATCAAAACCAATCCTATCACATTCTATGAAGTATTACTCTCTATCAAAGATGATTACACAGATCACCTGTTCATCTCTACGGACGGATATAAAGATGATTATGAAGTTGGATATGTATTCGCCCACCACAAAGCAAAATCAATGAAACCACTTCCAGACAAAGCTTCCATATTTAGTGCCGTTCTGAATTCTATCGACTTGACCCGCGACATCATAAATTCAAGTAAACATTAAAAAGTATATACACTGACCCCATGTCAGTGATCACAGCACTGAAAAACAAAATGAAATGTCAAATCCACTCGTTAAACTACCCGACAGGATAAATAGCTTAAATAGAGATATTGTCTTCGACAGAAAGAAAAAAAAAACTACTATAAAAAAAACACATTAGAACACTTAAATACCAAATTCCCATATATAGATTTGAAACCAGCAATCAATACTTTGAGTGACAGAACCTCTTAACTAAACAGTAAACTGTAGAAAATTAAACCTACTATAGGAGAATGGAAAAAAAAAACACCAAACTGGAAGAAAAGAAGTGATTAATTCCAGGCTCCATATTAGACATGCTACCATAACCTATTCGTATGTTCTAAAAAAGAAGATCCTTCGGTATGTGTGGCATGCCAAGATCAATTCACCATAAAACACGTAGTGACAAATTGCAGCAATTTTAATTCAATCCGCTTAAAATACTACCAAGCAACAACCTTGAAAGCACTTCTTCAAAATACTGATTCACTTTACATGTACCAGTTTCCGATAGAAATTAAACAGATTTCCAAAATATAAAACACAACTGAAAACAGTAAAGTAACATTAGTCGGCTGTTTAAATACAAGGTTTTATTTAGAAATTTAGGCATTAAATGAACCAAGGGGTCGATATGTTGTAAAACAAACAAAACGAAAACAAACCTAGACATGATAATGCTAT